GAAGGTAACAAAAAGGAGGAAGTTAGGGCAATAATGAATTTTCAAAAGACAAACATGTTGAATCAGATGGCCTTTATCTCTCTCAGAAATCTTACTGCCTTTCTTTCCTTGGCATTTTCTTCAAATACCCTTCCAACACCCTGAGGCACAACATGGGACAAAGACCTCCAATGAAAAAAACACATAAAACAGTACAAGTCCTGTAACACAAGTTTTTCTAGTGTATGTCATGCAATCGGTCTGCTGCTCTGTACAGTTCACTAATGGAGACCATCTGAGCATCACAGATTGCAGTTTAAATTGTTTACAATATGCATGGCAAGAAGAGGAGATGACATGTACCTGTTTTGGAAATCACTAACTAGATACACAATCTTCCAAATCTTTCTGGCAGTTTGCTGATCTCCTGGAAGGTGTTTTCTTGGAACATAAGGATTTTTATTTATTTTCTGTGGAACGCCTGTGAACTGTGAGATGAGTCTACTGTGTGCTCTGATTTTAGTTACATAGAAATAATTCAGTAGGAATTACCCTTTTATAACTTAGCCTAGATGTTTTTTTTGATAAGTGGACAATAACACTGCACTGTTAAATGAGTGATTTTGACCCTGAATCTTCTGTGAAGGAAGATGTGTGTGTGTTGTACTCTGCATATATAAACGCTTGATCACCAGATCATTACACTAAGTTTATGAAGCTCTACATATTTGTACTATAATTGATTAGGGTTTTTTTTATTTCACATTAAGTTTAGAATACAAAATTTTTTTAAAAGTCTTTTATTTACGACTTTCATCCTAGTTTGTGCAGCTGTGTATAGAGCTAGGTTTAAGGCTAGTTGGAAGCTGAAGAGTGTGTTGCAAATGCATTTGCACAGATGCCATGGTCTCATTCTATTTGTTGTCTTTATATGTTATATAGTAACATATCAGCACCTCAATTCATCCAGAATTAGCCAGGAGGGGCAGGGAGAGAGCGAATCTAGGCCAGTAATGGTATAGGTCAATTCTAGCACTCTCTTAACTGTGATACCCCCGCAAACTTTGTTTGCAGTCATTTCACTTTTATTAAATTTAACTACTTAGTTTTCCAAACCAAATATATGGAATTCAAGGATTTGGCAAACTGTAACTACCAAGGTCACTTTTGGGAAGATGTTACTCAGTTCTCATTAAAGAAGTACTGAGGGGGAAAATGGAAAATCAGACATTGAAGCCATTGATATTTTCTGCATCTTCTTAGAATTGTGTATTGCTTATTCTAGGGAAGGAATGAAAGTATTATTTCTATTAATCACTAGCTGTCACAGAATTATTTCTCATTAAGAAAACTCATATGAATTTGTGTAACCTTAAGTAAAGGTGGAAAGATTATTACTTTATATACTACCTGTTAAAACAAATATACATCATTAAAAAAACAAAATGGTGACGTTTATTATTACTGTGGACTGTGGATAGAAGGAAAAAGGGACAGAGAGTACCAGGTGTGGGTGAAAACCTGATATTTATGCCTACACTGAAGCACTTCACTGTATGCAGTGAAGGAACACAGTGGCACTCCGAAGGGGATAAATATCAGTGAAGAACTTAAAGCCCCAAGAAAGAAAAGGGACCATGTTGAGAGGTCAAGTATGTTCGACTCTACCCTCAAATGCATTCAGTAATGAACAATGAGGCAGTAATGAGGACAAGGCAAATATCTACTCAGACTTTTTATGCATCATTAGTCAAGCCAGTGGGTATGATGGCTGAACCAAAAAACTCAAGGAAAACAACTAATTTTGGATCAACGCACATTTTTTTCATTTTCACCCCAGCAAAACAATAAACTGGGAAGGGGGTTGACCAGAAACAAAACATTTTGTCTTCAGTTTATTTAGTCCCTCTTTATTTTAGTTTTGTTAGTTAAATTGGAAGTGAAACATTGATAGTTTTGTTCTGAAAATGTTGTAATGAAATGCTTAGTCTTTCCCAAATATATTTGCTTTCTGAATGTTTCTTCTGAAACCATTTACTAAATTTGACCCAATTTCATAAATACTTTTATTCTCCCTTCATGATGTGTTGAACTGGTTAATCACATTCTCCATTGCCAGTATTTTGTTTCCCAGGAACAAAGACCACTCATGTTTTCTCCTTTTATCCTCTTAATTGAAATGCATAATGCTGCATCACCAAAATACTTGAGTGTTTCCCATATTAAAAAATGCTCTCCAAGAAACCGCTTCCCTTCACTTTTCCTTCTTATAGTAGAGCAACAATGTGAAAATGAGAAATCGGTGTAGTTAAATTTAAAGATACGTGCATAAGTGAAAGGAGGTGAGATTGAAGAGATGCTTTTTGTATGCGATTCTGAAAATGGCAAGGTATTTGTCCATCCTTTCTGAGGTTCTTCCTTCAACAAGCAAGTTGGGAAATGCAACTGGTGTAATTCCTCAAAAGAAAGGCAGAAGTTACTCCGAGGTAGCATCAACCTGACACAGAGTTTTTGTTCCAAGTCCAAGCTCCTGAATTAAAAAGGGAAGGGAATGCATGTATTGTTTAGCTAGTACAGACAGAATAGCTCTAAACCAAATTCTCTGCAGTAATGATAGCTGTGGTCTACTGAGTTAAGCAGTAATTTAATTTTTTCCCCAGGACATATATATGTATGTTTTGCTCCTTGGTATAGTGAGCTGCAGTAATTAAAGTAACAAATCCACAGACAACCCACGGGCCACTATGGAGTTCCACAGTTTGATGTACAGTCTTTCTAGCTAGTCCCAGATAGGAGGATGAGAAATATTTTAAAGCCAGGGATAATTTGGACAGCTGCTCTCTATAAAGTCAACAAGATCATAAGTCGTCTATTAGTTTGACAGCTGAAAGCCACACATCCCAAATGAGGTCAAAAAAAAATGCCAGTTCATTTTTTTTTGTGAGGACTTTTCCTCTTTTCAGACAAATGATCTCAAACTTGCCTAGACTGAGTTTCAGTTAATTGCTTTGCCACACTGAGCAATCCTGAAGGGGACTGTGCTAAATTCAGAGTAAAGATGATGCCTTGCTTTGCTTCTGTGGTGGTTCTATGTAGATATCTGATAAGACAGAGCACAGGAATGAGCTGTTTGGGATGCTGCAGTTGAGTACCCTGGAGATGGAGGAAAGCTGTCCACTATGACTCAGACACAGATATCTTAGCACAGTTCCCATGTAAATAAATTAAGATAGAATTATAATGTTTAGTTGCTAATTACATTTAGACTCCTTTGGGGAACCCACCATGATTTCTATGAATGTATAGTTCCAGCCAGTGAACAGACAGAATTAATCCATTGGTTTGCTCTAACAGGGGACCTAAAAAGAACAATTACTTACACTGCTGTGATTGCCCTTCGGTCAAGGTTAAATTCTCCATACAGATTCCACTTTTGTTCTTCACATGAGATGATTTTTCTTTGAAGAGCAATGAAAACTATTACATTAGCTAGCCATTTATTTATTTTTCAAAATTAAAAATAGTGCTTTCGGTTAACAATAATGATTCTTTTTTTCATTAGTGGCATCTTTGTCCCTCAGAAGTCACATTTTAAAAAAAATTTAAAAATTAAAGAATCAGAAAATAGAACTTGGGAGAGACTTCAAAAGGTTTTCTCATCATAACCCGATTTTCCAGCAGTGACTTTTCATGGCAGACGTTTGTCTAAAAAAACCTGTTTGTTCTAAAAACCCTCCATACCTTCCCAATGTTACCTATTCTAATGCTTAATTCTTACTACTGTTACAACATTTTTCCTAATGACTTTATCTAAATTTCAGTTGGTGCAATTTAAACCCATGACTTGCTGTCCACTGCTTGTGCTTGGGTTTTTATACGCACTCTCCCTCTAGTTGAGATCTTGCCAGTGCTGAGATAGCACAAAGATTTCTTCAGTTGTACAGCCCATTTTCCACAACAGCATGATACTGTTAATTCACATTCAGCTTGCAGTGCCAATATAGTCCCTTATCCCTTGGTGCAGAAATGTTCCTTAAACTGACATTCTCTAGCATAGGTTCATGAAATTCATTACTTCTACGTAAGAATCCTGCCTTTATGCCTTTCATTTGCTTTTTTTTTTTAAATTGGTGTGCTCACAGATTTTGTGTACTCAAATACTGCATTCATAAAAAATACAAATTTTTATAAGTTGGAAGTAGCAAAGTGTATGTACCTACTGCAAATATATTTTTGGTGTAAAATATTGTAATTTATTATAATCAGTTCTCTGTTCAAGATAGTTTCAAGACAAGAAGTATGGGGATTTTCATAGGGACATAATGCATGTGTGGATTCAGGAGAATGATCAGTAACTGACAATATAGCAAAATATGCTTTATTTAGCTCTTTCAAACAAGAGGTAGCTGAGGAATGTAACAATAATAGTCTCATTTTACAACCAGATTTTCAAAGAAATCATGCTTTCATTAATGATATTCAGGCTCTCTCTTGTTTCTTCACGTTGTGGCTATTGCAGGTTCCCAGATCAGGTTTGATCAGGTGTTCATGTCTCTTCTTAATGTTTTCAGAAGGGGAAATGGCCTTCTTGTCAAAATACCTCTGGGGCTACTGCATTCCTCTCCTGTATTGCCAGGTCTGTTCATGGGAATTCTTTGTGAAACAGAAACATGTAACACTGATTCCTAAATGTTATGTCAAGCGGTTTATACACACACCAAGTAGGTTCTCATCAGCAGTCAGCATGGTCTATATAAATGGGAATATAGTGTTGGACTGCATCTATGAAAATAGGGTAAATTTAAATCTGTAAAATAGGTTGCTATATTTTGGCTAGCCTGGGTGGCTTTGCATGTCAGAGTCAGTTCATGTTTTAGGCACTACATTTTAGGAGAATCTCATGAATACTAAGGTGCCTTTACAATGTCAAGGAGGCCTTCCTAGCTGTAAATGAAGAACATCATTTTCATGACCAAACTATTTTTCTTTCTAATATGATACTTTTTTGGGTTTTCTTCTAGGTGGAGAGGATTGTAGACAAAAGGAAGAACAAGAAGGGCAAATGGGAATATCTCATCAGGTGGAAAGGCTATGGAAGCAATGAAGACACCTGGGAACCTGAACATCATCTACTACATTGTGAGGAATTTATTGATGAGTTCAATGGACTACACGTTACTAGAGAAAAGCGATCGAGACATGGGAAACAGACCAGCGCTCCAAAATTTTTACGGGAAAGCCGAGGGTCATCTGTTGAGAAAATATCACATAGACCTTCTGAATCTGGGAAGTCTAAAGGGTCAACACACAAAAGGAAGAGAATTAATCCATCTCTTCAAAAACAGAAAAGAGGATACGCAGCAAAGCCAGCATCTGCTAATGACAGGGCTGCTAAAACTGTGACTTACCGAACTACTCCCAGCGGTTTACAGATCATGCCACTGAAAAAGCCACATAATGGTCTGCAGAATGGAGATGGCAGTCATGAAAAAGATTCTAGACATTTTGGGAATGGTTCACAAGAGCAAAATATGGATTTAAATGATCATGAAGGAGAACAAAATTTGCCCAGCGTGTTGGAAGTTAGTAATGATTCACCTGTTGTGAATGGAATTGGTATGTGATTTAAATTACAGTCTTTTGAGGCGGGGGACGGGGGGTAATTGCAGCAACTGCAAACAGAGAGTCCACTTGTGGAAAAATCGTTGTCATGCTACACAAGTGATATGGTGAGAAGCACATAAACAGGTTTCACGCTCTTTCCCCATATATCATACCATTTTTTTATCAGTTGGCTTCTCTCCTTCCGTTTCCCACGGAGTGACATGAAGCAGTGTGGGCTTTGTTACATGCCTTTGCAGTGTAAAGTCCTTGTGGGGAAATGATGACAAGGCACGGAGTAGGAATGACAACGGAGGTATGTATAATACTGCAAGTTTGGTTTTGTGTATCGCCAAGTAACAAATCACTTCTCAGTTCTGTGTGCACAGACCTCTCCTATGTGTGCACAGGTCTAGAAAGATCAGGATTATTTTAGAAACAGAATTAATACCACTTTTGCTAAAGTATCATGGTAAGTATGGCTGAATAACATTCAAGTTCCTCAGTATTAATGCTCGTCATATTCAATACTCAGAACTGCCAGGTCCTTGTCTCTGACAGTGACTGGATACATCAGAAGTCAAAAGACATACTTTACGGGAAGGTACAAACAGCCTCGAGGTGAATGAGAAGAAATAGGAGAAATTTCTTTCTAATCCTCAGTTACTGAGTGGCTTAGTTCTCAAAGAATAAAGGTTTATGTTGTCTATAAATACTATGCAGTTTAATGCAACTGAGTAGCTTCTCAGTATCTATATTTGTCCAATCTTTTATTTTTTTTTAATCCTACCAAACTTAAAGCCTTGATGGTGCTTTGTGGCAGTAATTTCCAGGAGCTAACAATGAGATGCACATTTTATTTGATCAGGTTTTTGGGTTTGGGGGTTTGTTTGGGTTTTTTTTTACCTTTACTTTCATTGAATAAGCTCTTGCCCTTATAGAAAGGATAAAGAGGAAGACGTCCTATCGATCTATAGGCAGCCCCAGCCTTTTTAGCCTTCCTACCACGTGGAAGTCTTCCCAGATTTCTGGTAGTTTTCGGTATCCTCTTGTGCCTTTGGTGTGTGGGGGTTTTTTTCGTACCTTTTAAAAACAGCAGGAGCTGTTCCAAATGATTTCCTACTGCTTACTGATATAGTGGCGATACAACCTTTTGAGAATTATTTTTTCTGCTGTTACACACTGTGTAAAGGTTTTCATTGAGTGATACAAAGTTGTTCTTAGGTTTTTTTTCCTTGCTGGTTACAGTTAATTTAGAACACAGCTATATGTATGATTCTTTTCATTATGCATTTAATCTGCTTTACTGTTGCCAATTCACCCTTTTCTTATGACTCAGTGAAGCTCTTCAAATTCTTTCCTAGTTTTTATTCTACTTATTTTGTATTCCCTTCAAATTTTCCTCTTATCATTCTCTTCCCAGTTCATTAATACATACATTAAATAAACTAATCCTTCTGCAGGTCCTTGGGGCAGTCAACTACTAATCATTTGACATGATGAAAAGTAACCATTTGTTCCAATTATTTATTTTTATTAGCCACTTTTCGTAGCCCATGATAGCACTCATTTCCTTAACAGCTTCTCGTGAATTGCCCTGCCAAAAACTTTTCAGAAGTCAACATAAATTGTATCACCCCGCTTTCCATTTTCCACCCTACTAGCAACCTAGCAAATGCTACTTGATTTGGGATGTGGAACTGTCCTTGCCTAGTTTTACTGGTTACATCCTGTAACTGCTGGGATCTTTCAATCCAGGCATCAAATATCTTGTTACAGACTCCCAAACCAGCAAAATGTGTGGTCAGCTTTAAATGCATAAGTAGCCCAGATGATGTCAATGACACTTAAAATTGAGAGTGCAGGCTTTTGTATTTTGATGTGTTTGAGCTCGTCTAAGACTGTTTAAAAAGTTACGTTTTTCTTTAAAAAGACTTGCATATCTAATTACAGATGCATATAAAGTTATTTTTCTTTGCTTTCTTAGTATTTCTAATGAAGTTCTTTTAATCATTTGTTTTATGTTATTCATTGGGGAAGTTCTGATACAAAATGCAACTTTAAAATGCATTAATTCCCAAGTTTTAGAGTCTTTTTTTTTTAATGAAGAACTAAAGGGCCACAAAAAACTGGAAGGTCAAATGAGCCTTTCATTGATCCCCACAAGAGCTAATGAATGGCATCCACCAGCCCCTGTTTGAATAATCCCTGTGAGAGAGCTCTATTTCAGTAGAAAGCTGCTTTGCTTAAGCAGCCAGGTGTTCTGCCATGTACAGAGGGCTCCTGGCCTAACATATGCAGCTCCTTTAAAACATTTCTTTATGATGGTTTTTGCATTCTCCAAATCCATCACTTCTATAATTTGCTCTCCTTTCTCCCTTGCATTCTGACCTCCCTGTAGGCAAAAGCGAGAGATCTTTAAATCTCTACCTGGTTCTCGTCTGAAAAACCCATACTCAGCAGCACTCCCAAGGTCAGAAATCCCTCCAGTCTTGCTTTGTGATACCCAGCACATGCATAGCAGAGAAAACTACAAAGAGGAGAGATGAGACTACCAAAGTAAGAGCAGACAGAAACTGGTGAAGAAGGGTCAAAATAAAAATACTAGCTTTTTTTCTAATTTGCCCTACAAGCTTGAGAGAAGTCACATTTCCTGATACAGGATTTTGCATCATTTGAAATGTCAGATTGAAGAAACTTGCACTACTCTTCAACAAGTCCAACAATTTACTGAACTCCCTCAATACTGACACTGACAGAGAAGCAGCACAGCAGATGCCATTGTGATTCTGCCATGTGTCCTGTTAGTATCACAAACTCATTCTAAACAGGATAGACGTCCACTAAAACTGGTCTGAAATTTTACAAATTACAAATGAAGAAAGTTTCAGAGAAAAATGCCAATTTGTTGAATAACAGAAGTTTTGTTCCAAACATCTTGGGTTTCAAAACTTTCTCCAAATCTGAGCCAAGGTCCCAAGGCTTTGTCCCTTGAGACTGGGAGCAATGTGGCAGTCTGCTTGGCAGCACTCCCACATGTAGTTTTGAGGCAGCCAGCTATGCCAGAGGTTTCAGGCAGTCTGCCACAGAGTCTGGAAGTTGAAAGCCCGGCATGCCCCATCAACGCTTGCAGGGCTCCCAGGCACTATGTGTAGAACAAAGAGGGAGCATGGAGGACCTGGATTTGGCTCCCAGAAGCTGTGGTTCCCGGGCAGCCCCGTGCAGAATCTGATGAAGCAGGCATTTGTGTCAGTTTTGAGATTGCCTATATGAAGCCCAAATGAATGTCAAACTCATTTCACAGCTAAGTGTAAGAGTGCACAGAAAACGTATATAGAAATTTTAAGTTGGTCTTGAGATAAAGCCTAGATTTGTAAAACTGAAAAATTCCCCACAATTTGAAAACCCAGCTGTAGGCCCAGCTCTGCTACCAGTGTTGGCCTATAGTTGAAGGCTCCAAAAGCCATCAACTTGAACCAGTATTCTGTCATATTATAATAATGTTTAACTACCAGTGTATTGAAACAAGCAATATAATTAGTAATTTATAAACTATAACTAATCAAAAAATATCTATTTTGTTTGTCAGTGGTATGCCAGTTCTGTTGAAGGAAATAATAGCTATTTGAAAGCTGGTTTTTGGTGGCCCCTTGAATGGACTTCCACCAGTCTGTGTTTGGTTTTGTGAATACATCCACTTGGATACAAGTGTTTCCTGCTCAACCTATAGATAAAACTCACCAGTAAGCTATTTACCCCAGAAAGATGACTGTATATCTACAGATGTATGCACAAAATCATATATGCACCCTAGTGGAGGCCTGGAACCTTGCTGAAGTTGGGACAGACTTTTCTTACCAAAACCTCTCTTCTACCTTCTACACATCCTGTCATACGGAGAGTAGAGTTGTCTTTACTGACAGTTATTTAAGGGTCTGCAAATTGGAAAATATTGAAAAACTCTGCAGGAGAACATCCACTGATGCTCCCAGGAGCTAACAATACCGTTCTTTTTGATTATATTTATTGTATTCTGTTACCACATTTCTGATTCTCTCCAGATATTGTAATTGAGAGTGATTGTTTTGTCAAGTTTCTTGACAGAATCAAAAACCATCCCCTTTTAATTTTCAAAATTTCTACATCACTCTATTTCTGTACCATCTGCTGAAGGATTTTTGCTTGTCATGTATCACTAACCACTGTTTTTCTCCATTACAAAAATCTTTGTAGTCTCATGGTGCCCGTAATTTAAATACTCTCTATAAACTTAGTCACTGCTTCCTCTTGTTTTTTTAGCTTGTTCTGTTTTATTTATTCTGGAGCAATACTGGCAGTAAAAGACAACCAAATACGCTTGCTTTCTCAATTTGGATAAAAACTCATTGCTTTTAGATATCTTACAGATGCTCCCTTAGCTGGAGAAGTTTGAAATTATTAGTAAATTATCAACAGAACACTGCTTTTAAGTATGTACAGTATTAACCATTACCCACAAGAAAGACAGAAAGGAGACAGAGAAAAGCTATTGGGAAGACTGAGGAATGCCAAGCTGTTTACCAGGCAGAGTAAGGGAGCATGGTTTATTTCACCTAGAAAAATTAAAGCCCTAGCTCCATGATCCTTTTCATTCAGCATAAACACATGCTGCTTACAAAAGGAACAGTCCAGCCCTCCATCCCATAATATCCTGATCGTTACTCCCATCTATTTCCCTGCACTAGTTTTAGTACTCTTGAGCCTACAAGGTGGATCTGTTTGAAAATTAACCACAGTTTTGCAGGGTTTCCAGCCAGAACAGTTCATCAGGTCACTTCACAGTATGCTACCTACCTGCATGCTAGTACCAGCACAAGGATCACCACTAGGGTGGTGGTACAGAGACTGCTCCATTAAACTGACTGTGATGAAACACTAAGAAAAGATATATCTGAAAATAACAGTAGCTTGAGGTGTCCTCTTCTAGTGAGTAGAAGCAGTGGAAGGAGATGGGGAGATCTGAGTCCTCTAAAGCACTGAGTGATCTGGGGCTCATTGCGATCTTTTCTCTCTTTCCTCTCCTACCCTTTGTCTGCCTCATCTTTTTAGACTATTAATTTCTAATGTGTTTTCTGCAGTGCCTAGTATAATGGAGCCCCGGTCTCAGGCTCAATCTGGAGTCTTCGGGCACTTTCTAGTACCAACAGTAGCAGCAGTAACATCGTTACCTGTTGTCCCCTTTGACTGTAGTGAGTACTAGAGAAGATACAGGAACAGACAACTAAAATGAAGAGGATTACAAGAATAAAAGAGGCTTCAGTTAGGAGAGGAGGAGGCTGAGGGTGAATATGATCAAAGTTTACAAAATCAAAGCCTCAGATAAAGTAAATGCAGAACTGTTATTCACCAAATCCCTCAATAGCAGAACTAGGGACCACTCACTGAAACTGGTAGAACACCAGATAAAAGCAAAGATGAAAGAAAATTATTCTCTGTGTAGTGGCTACACACCTTCTCAAACTCATACCACAGGAGGCTGTGGAGACAGACAGCATCAACAGGCTCAGAAGAGGATTAGAGAAACCCATGAAAAAGTCCACGAGCAAATACTGAAGGAAACAGGAAGGGTGAATCCTCTCATATTGCTATACAACACTTAGGGATGATACTAGGGGAGAGGACTGCAGAAAGTGGCCAAGCTTGCATTTTCTCCTTAAATAGCATCCTTTACTGCCATTCTTGGAGAAGGATTACTAGATGCACCAGTGGTCTGCGAATATCTGAAGTTCCCTTAAAAAATATTGAAACTTCTTCTAAACATCAGTGTGTTTTTAGGTATTCCACAAGTTCTACTGCTGATTAAAACCAACGTAATAATTAGATTAAACTCCCACTAAAGGAAGGAATATTTTCTCCTCTTCTGTTTTCTTTTTGTACCTAGACTGAGCATCAACTACTCATTACTAAGCCAGTAGACCACATTTAGAGGTACCCAAAGCTTCCTTAGTTAATTTGTGACATTCTTAATTTGTTTCACGTGCAGTATAGATTGCTTTGAGAATGCTTCTTTTTTCCTGTCACAGTCACTGTCAATGTCACAGTCATTTTTCATCGTGACATATTAAAGTACTGTTACCCTTGCGTGTATTAAGCAGGTGCTAACTATTAACCCTCATGCAGAGACAATTTGGATGCTTTAGTAGCTCCAGAGCAAACCTTCAGAAGCTCCATCACATCCATGCAATAGACATGCTAACTTCGCCTGGTTTCACTTGGGTGTTGTCTTTGGATTTTGCTGATCGTTTTCTCCAGTTTATCAGATTAAGCAAGGTTACTGGGCACAGTATACACTGAAACAACAATTTACTCACTATATGTTGTTCTGTTAATCATCCATTCCTGGAAATGACACTTTTCCATTTATGTTTCTCTCGTATTTAATTTAGATCTTTCTTTCCTCTGGTTAAATTTCCTTCAGCTGGCGTGCAGACAGTTAAAATATTTTTATAACATCTAAAGTTTCTTACATTGTGTATTTACTTTACAAACTGAATACATTACTCAAACAAAGAAGAGTACAACAAAAAAAATAAAATAAAATTATTATTATTATTATGAGGCTTTTTGTTGAGCTGGATTATCTATGTGAATTAATCTTCTACCATTCTCTTACCATCTGTGTTTAAAATCGATGTGGCATAATCTTCAACTCTAGGTAGATAATCAGTACAGTTAGTCTGACACATCTTCCATTCAACGCTCATTTGTGCCTCTGATTTTATAAGTTCTTCACACTTTTTTGGGAGATTTAACTCTTCACATTTTAGTAGCTTATTGCTGGGTCAAGCAACATAGTAAGGAGTGAGTAGATAAAAATGCAATATTTAAAAGTCTCCCTCAGTCAAATAATTAATTTGTTTCAGTATATTATTCCCAATGCTATTAGTTTTCCATTAGTAATTTCACAAGTTGATTTTTGTTTGTAAGAATACATGTCAAAATATATGCAGTAGCAAAACCTTATGAAAAAGAAGACACATGCCATCAGAAATTACTCATAATTTTTAAAATTCAAGCACATAGTGATTTCTACACTTGTAGATAATTCTTGTCAAGAAAACAAATTTCAAATTCTGCTGGCTTCAAATGCTTTTTCTTCAAATTGATGATCTAATGTAATTTGTCAATATTTGCATTGCACCAGTTAAATCCTCTATTCAGTATAATATAGGCGATACTTTAGATGGTATTTCTTAACTTAACAATGAAAAAGAGTTTTATGATTGACTGAAATAGCATTCTTTAACAAACATGCATTTCTGTGTGTAGATATATGTGTACACACATGCACACATTACATGATGAAACCAAATGATGTACCATTAAATACTATTAAGCACTCTATATATTTAAACATGACATATTGTAACTGCAGTGTATATACAGGCATTTCACACACTGTGAACAATTCCACAGGCCATTGCCAACTGAGAGGTATCAGACAGTTCAGTTACCTACATAAACATCAAGTTGAAACATAGCTAATCCAAAATGAGGGTAAGTGATTTTGGTTTAGAGAATAATTTGTTATTAATTCACCATTCAATTCTATTCCAACAGAGCATTTTTAGTTGGATAGTGGTCATTTAAACTATAAAATTTAAATCTATGTTCTAATATTCATGTCATCTGCCCTTTAAAAATTCCTGGCTATTTGATACCAGCAGCTGGAATGGGTGAGCTGTGGCAGGAGTAAAGAACGAAACAAACAAAAGTGTTTTCATTCAGCTCTTTCTTGGCCATTCTTAAATATGGCGTATTGTGGGCTCATGTCTATTTAAACAAAAATCAGATTTGGAAACTATTTCAGTGAACAGAGTGACTTTAATCTCTGTTCCTCAATAACCTGTCTCTGCTTTACTTTTAATGGCAATAGTGTGAAATTCTGTAATTAGAAAAGGAGTATTGCATACAAATCTTGTAAAGATATTTTCAACAGTCCAGCTCAGCATTGTTACCAATCATAATATATTGCCTATTACAGAGGAACTGTAAACCTAAGCAAAGTAATAGTTTACAGTTCATACACAATGTAAGTCAGAATAAACCATCTTTTAAAATTGACATACTATTTCTCTCATTTATTTTTAAGGAGGAACTATCTCTTTCTTGTCATAGTTCCCTTTTTTCACTACTGCTGGATACCCTCCAAAATGTCATCAGCATTCATATTTTCTATGTAAAAAGTCCAATATTAATATCATGTCTGTTAGTCAAAAGTCAGTAATTATTGTTACTGTAAAATGTAATGAGCAGAAGCTTGGGATCAGAGCAAAGAGGATGGCTAACCGCTACTTCTAACGCTAACCACAAGGATACATGGAAGAGAATGACGGTTGTGTCAGCTTAGTAAGAACTCCCCTAAATTACTGTTACATAGAGATGGGCAACAAGAGTGTATTCAGATTGTCATTTGAAACCGATAATGACTTTTTGGTCACCATAAAAGGAAGAAAATGTAACTCTGAGAGATGGGATTTGGATTAAACCTGTCACGTAAAGTTTTTCCAAAGCTGAATTAGAATTTTCCCATGAATTCAGGGATCACCCCAAATTCATATGAAAGACTATACAATACGATACAATTGCTTTCATCTTCAAAGCAGAACTGAATCCCATTAAGAGTACCAGTCCTACATGCTACAATTCACTGGATCTAGCGGTTGCCTGATCAGAGAACAAAAAGTACTGCATGTTGGGATATAGAATAATAAGAATGGCTTGAGGCGATATTTGACTAGCCAGGCATATTTTTGATTTATCAAATTTATCATGTAGAGGCTATTGTAAATACCAAGCTATGTTTAAGCTAATGGAAAATATCACTCCATTTCTTCGAAGGTATAGACATAACTATGCTTTGATTCTTTCCGTCTGAAAGGTTCTTCTCTGGCCAATGGAAGCTTGAATCTACACAGCACTGTGAAAAGGAAACTAGATGGGGAGAAAGATTATGTCTTCGATAAGAGACTAAGATACAGTGTGCGTCAAAATGAAAGTAACTGCCGGTTCAGGGACATTGTAGTCCGGAAAGAAGATGGTTTCACACATATTTTGCTGTCAAGTCAGACTTCAGATAACAATGCACTGACCCCAGAGGTAAGCATGTAGCCATAAAAGCCAAAGAAAGCCATCCTAATGTGTGGGTTATCTTGGAAACGCTGCACTTGAACTGGATTTTATGTATTTTTATCCTAATTGATTATCATAAAAAAGGAATGTGGAGTTCAGATATATCTAAATTTTTCACACTTGGGATTCCTGTCAAAAAGAATGCAATGGAAATTAATTTTTAATTTACATGACTGAAACCGAAAATTAGAAGTAAAGAAAGGAACGGCAGAATCGGTATTTCCAGCATGGAGTTGTGTGAAGCAGTTGTTCACATATTGAAGTTACCAATATTTACTATCCTTAGGAGAAATCTGGTCTCTCTCATTTTATTAATTTAAATAGTGCTCCAGTTACTGCATACGGAGGAATTTCAGGCTATATCCTGAAACATTAATTCTAGAAGTATATCTTGATCTCTAATTGCTTTTTCTCTGAATCACCTTATGAGTCCTTATTTATGAAATCTTAACCAATTAGGGGCTCTGTTCTCAGCTGAATTGCATAAAGTCTTACAACATATAAATGATATTAATGAATTCCCTTGTTCCAAACATTATACACTTGGACTTGTAGCTTGTACTACTCCAGTACATATATTGGTCTCTGGCAGGGCTGAGCAGCTCTTCCTTCCATTCCCTGTGATCCCAGCATAGTGGGCAGCAATGCCCTGGTATACCTTTCCCATGTCAGAACAAAGGGGTGTCAGTAAATGCCTGCATCAGGATGCATGTCCTGGAGAGCGGAGAACATGCTTGAGCCCTGTTCCACGTGGGCAGTAATGGCCTGAAAGAAAGGATGGCCTGGTGGATGGCCATAGAGGAAACAATAGGAGCTGCCTCCCAGCACCGATTTTGCCTGTCTGAGCATTCTTGCAGGCAGAGTTCCTCCACGAGCTGCCCGCAGCATGACAGACCTCTACCTTTGCTACCCTCCAGATACGCTAGTGCAGCTCTGATTTATACAGTAACTTCAAGATAAGAGTATATGAAATATCGGTTTGAGTACCATTTGAGGGAAAAGTAGATTGTAGCTTTGAGGAATTATTTTATTCAATAAGAAACCGAGTAACTTTGAAATTAATTACTTACAATAGCTTCAGATAAAACCTCTGGCAGGTATGATGGGCTCTAAACCTGACTCTTCCAAATGCACACCTACACATGGACATTAATACACAGAATGATACTAAATAGTTAAAACTGTTGGTACATACATTTATCACTTCTAGTTTTTAACCTATGTAATATTTAAAAAGACTATCTTGGTAGTTAACAGAGAACACCAACCACCCGCTTTTAATACTAGTTCCTTAAAACACATCAGATTGCGTCAAATCCATCATTCCATCCATGTATTAATTACCACTAATTGACATGGCAGGTAATTTAAACCAAGAGCTCAAGGGCCTGAAAAAGTATGAAATCAAGGACTTGCTATGTTCAGGCTGAACTGACATACCTTTACATTGCTGGCTGTGCTGTTCCACATGAGCAGTGTTCAAATGCTCTAACCAGTGAATTAATTCCGGCTCTTCAGGTCTGCCAAACCAATCCGTTTCATTCTTTGAAAATTTTCAATATGCCGGGGACCCACCTCTGTGGAAGAATAAATGATAAGCATACAATAGTAGTCCTCTTCTTGCATCACCAGCATAGACTATTTCTAGAACCTTTATTGAAGCTCACTCGAAAACCAGCAAATACATTTTAGAAAACTACATTACTGACCAGGATCTGGATGTTCAGGAATTAATCAAGGTAATGAGCTCTCCACATTGAGATTGTCTGTTTAAAACTCATCCAGGCTGAGAGCAATTGAAAGCTCTTGCCCTCTGAAGGCTGCTTGCTGGCAAACATGAAACGATTCTTTGGCCTTGGTCCAGGCTGCAGCCCATGATCATTCACACCACAAAATCCAGCACCTCCAATATTGGCAATTCCGCATCCTTGCTAGCAATTACAGAAAAAATCCAAGGAACTGAAAGGAGGAATATATTGAATGCCTTGTCCCTACAGTTTGTCACCCATAGCCATAGCTGAGACAAACTGACAGAGTATTTTAGGAACGTTTACAACATTTCAGTTTTCACACCTTTTATCACCAGTGAATAAAAAGTACAAACACAAAATTCCTACAAAATGAAGAAAGTGTGCTTCATTTTGTCAAAAGAAATGCTAACTTCAAGTTTTATTAGACATTCAGTAAATGTTGTTTGCCAAATAGTAAATGATTAATTTACTCAGAGCAGGTCTACTTGGTGTGGTTAAAATAGCGCTCTGGTTATTCTTGGCCATCTATGTTAGGAAAAAAATAAAAGGTGTCCACTGCCTACAATCATTATAAAATTAAGCTTATACAAAATCACTCTCACCCCTAAACAACCCTGCTTCCCTTTGTGCTTTATCTTAATCTTCAGACGAAATTTAATAGTTTTGTTCAACCATTGGCCTCTGCTATTTATGCCGATTTAATTAAAATAATGAAGAACTTATTTAATTAAAAAAAAAAAAAAAAAGAAAAAGAAAAAGAAAAGGTTGGAGAAGTCTGCCTGAATCTTTATCCTATGTTTTTGGTAATCACATCACACCTGTGGGTTTGTGCAGGTGATTTTAGCATGAAATGTGCCGATGCTCCTTCCAGCAGCATTTGCACTGATTGAAGTTGGCTCAGTGCCACTATAGTAATTGAGTTTTTTCTACAAAATGTTCAGGGCACTATAGAAATTCTTTCTTATGTTTTACAAGACCTTGTAAAACTTCCAAGCCAGTGTCATGAAACAGCACAGCTTGTTTTTATTTCAGTGGCTTAGGCTTGCTACTTTTAAAATTCATTTTTAAAATAGATATGTAAAATATTTCATCATTATAAACCATTAGGGCATTTTCTCTCACGGGTCTTTTGCTGCATCTGAAGTTCTTTCTCCAGTGATGATGTTGCTATTTTCTCTCAGCACATTTCAAGGATCCAAATTCTGTTTCAAACTGAAGATTAAATGGATCCATACACTGTTTTTACTTTACACTATTAATACAGCTAGGAATTAATATTCCCCTGAATTAAAAGCAAAGCATACCCTAAACAGCTAATGTTTTCATTGAAGACTGATATAACTACCTCAAATACACTTCTCATACAAAAGAGTCAGGTTTCAAATTTCTAGCCGTGAGAATTACGGGGTTTGAAGTTCTATCAAGTGCGTTTTGGAGCACTGGTTTGCCTTCATTTTTCCTTACTTACAACTTTTCCTGACTTAAAAAAAAAAACGAGGCAGATACAAGTTTACTATTATCTGTATTTTTGCTCTCATACAAAGACAAATTGATTTTTTGGCCAGTACGTCTGCCTGAAGCCAGCCTTATAGGTTCCTTTATTTATCAAACAGAAAGGACTCGGAATCTGTTTGCACAAAGAGTCAGTAAGTAACAAAAAGTGTATTTATGTAAGAAGGTACGATTGTGGAAGAGGTTCTAAAAACAACTGAATGGCTTTAAAAATTTTGGGTTTCTGTAATATTTACAGAATATTTACCTTTAAGAATATCAACAGTGAATCCTTAGAGATTCAGAGAAGTTAACTTTTTAAACTAGTATTTCTATTTATATGAACAAGAGACTTCTGTTCAAAATACTTTGTATAATTGTAGTGATAAATTCCCAGCTTCCTGATTTCCCCAGAATGTAAGCAATATTGAAAGCAAAGGGCACCAAATGCCTTTTAAAATTTCCTACATCCAGTGACAGGCATTAAAATGAGCTTTTAGAAGTGTAATGAAGTTTTTAAACATTTTGTGTTTATTTTGCAATATAAGGTGTCCTATTAAAGAACTAACCAACTCATTTTCTTGACAGGATTAAAGAAATAAGCAACTTTTGAGAAGTGATAATTTTATTATATATTTGGGTTTCAATAAAACAGTAAGTGAAGCATTAGGCCTGGTCTAAATTTATAATTTGATAGATTTTCATAAGCGAAAGAACTGGCTCATACTGTTTTGTAAATACGTCCTCAGAAATTTTAGTCAAACGCACGCAAGTAAAAATATTGTCCCCACAACTGAAAATTAACTAAAAGATATCAAAAAAGCTAATTAAAAAAAGCATGGAACTGGAGAATACTGCTGCAGAGCCCTGCAAATAGTAATATTAGATCTGGTCCACTAAAGAAAGTAAAATTTAATTGGACAAATGTCATAGGTATACCAAAATGAGGGAAGGTTTAAGGACCATGGAAGAGAGAAAAAGTATATGGAATCTGACAAAGAAATGTAACTAAAGACACATAGTATCTCTATATTTGCAAACTGAATCCACTACTGCATTAAATGGAAATTTGTACTTAAAAACAGACAGCAGTTCTGAACTAAAATTATATTTACTTTACAGTACTGCAGTTTAATACACAGTTCTGTAACCCTTTATTTTTTTGTTAGTAGCTTTCCTATAATCATCTGTAGAGAAATACCCATACCCAAGTAATGGGTGAGGATAGCCATGATGCCAAGGCATTCGGAAGCAACAGTGGACGGCAGGTTGGCTATAAGTAGGCTGAGTGACAAGGTGACCAAGTGAATTTTGGACGGCACCAGCAAATGAATCATGGCATAGAACAAGGGAATGAGAATTGACTTTGCTGGCATTGGTGTATTCCAGTGAGCCTCCAAGCACCTTTTGATGATAGTTAATGACAAACTTACAGATATTTTTTAAAAAAAACATACTTTTTGGAGACTGAAAACACCAATACATTATGGTTTCCTGGTTTCTGATATTGTTTTCTTTTGCTAGAAACTAGTGGAGCAGTGGAACTAAATTTCCACTCTTGCTCAGAAATACTATCCAAAATACTGTCAAAGTCTTCCCATTTTCAACTATATCTGAGAAATCAGTTCCTAATAATGGACCTTTAATATCACCCTCTCCAAAACATTGCAAAAACAGTGATAGCACAATATTGGTTTTTCGTACAAGTAGTATAACCTCTGCTCAAAAGTTTGGTATACTTCTAGATGGCTTTAGCCATCCAAATGAATGAGGGGTAAGATAAAAATGAGACAGGTTTGTAATGGTAATGATGTGTTTGAAGGATAGCAGTGGTAACATCAAAGAGATGGTACATATGCAAATATCACTGGAGGAAGGGGAACGGTAAAGAAACTGGCTAAATCGAGTATCATATCATGGCATCATATTTAAAGCAACACTCCTCATTGTATATAAAAATGTTTGATTGGTATTCTCTGATATTCTTTATACATCCTCCCTAAGAAAGAACAGATTTTGAGAACATTTCAAATAAACTAAGAGGACAATCTTGCATTCACATGGAACTAGGAAAATCAAAATACATTTTTTTTTATTCTAACATCTACTGCCTTCTAAAGTTTCTTTTTTAACTTTGAACAGAGGTTTCAGAGGTTTTTTTCCTTTGTTTCCCCTTATTTGGCTATGTTTTCACCAACTGAGGGCTGAGACAGCCTCTGAGACTCTGAGACTAAACAGTACTTGTAAAATCGCTGGTGACATTTTTGTACCTGCACAAGAATTTCAAACACACTTCCAAATTCTGCTGCTTTTAATTACTTCACTTCCACCCACTGTCACATACTCGGTATTACAGGCGTTCTGAAGTGCACTTGTAAAAGTGAAGCATCTAAAAGTTCACCACCTGCTTTCTCATGTCCTCGTCTCAGCAGTCAGTAACAGTCATTTTTATGCAAACACATATGGAAAGCAGGCAGGTAGCATTGCACTGCATGGTTTGAATATACAAGTTCGAGCTTGGTCTCACAAGCCACAGCATTTCTAATAAAAGGCTACCTAGAATGATATAAACAAAACCTCTGTTCTGTGCTTAGGGACATTTCTTAAATAAGGCACTTCAGAGGTCTACAGACTTTTTGGAAACAGAAAGTAGTGAACAAAAATAATCACAAGCTAAAAATCTTGGTTTTCTCTCACGTGGAAACGATATGTAATCCCCCAATCACATTTTGCTATCTTTTACCTAAATTTACACTAACAGCAAATCTTTCAGTACAAAAAAGAAAAATTTGACTCAACAGGACCCTTTCTATAGGAAATACTTTGACACATGCGTATGTTTAAGCATAGGAGGTGTCACACTAGATGAAATCATAGCCCTTGAAGAGAGGATCAAATCACTAAAGAGAAGAGGGGAAGCTGAAATGGCTGAAATCAATTATAGCTTACAAACTGCACTGAATTGTGACCGAACAAGAAGTTAACCCATCAGAAGTTTATGAAATAATATTTCCTTTTAAAAATCATTAGAAAAACAATTCTCTGCTCAGGTGAAAGGCCATTTTCTTACAATACCAGCAGCTCAATTCTCTACAGATTTTGATTAGGTTTGATTTATGGTGCAATTTATGGTTTTGATTAGGTTTGATTTATGGTGCAACTGCTTGATCCAGTTGTAAATCAGAGTCAAAAGGTCTCTCTTTCAAGTGGCTTTTTTGCTTTAACTTTTGTAGACATTAACAATATCACTGACCATAGAAAAATGAGTAATATATTTGTCATGTTGATGTATATGATGTCCTCTTGTCCTGCTTTGCTCCGGTTGAAGTCATAGAAACCAAAGTAGTTGAAGAACTGAAAACTGGGGTTTATAGATTATGCTTACAACCTGTTGAGGCTAATAGGCCATTGTTGTGTTACTGAGGAATCGGTGATGTACACTGAATATACACGATGAAAATAAAAAAGTGATATTTGAAATTATTAAATTGCAATCAAATAGCATAAGCTGGCTAGAATTTCCCATAGAATAAGCAAAGAACAGCCAAGTCCTAAAAACTCTTTGAATTAGTAAGCATCAACAAAGCACTTCCAAATATAAAATATTTTGTAAACTCTCAGTGTTATCATTCTAAGTATATTAAAATTATATAAATATATAATTGATGTAAGTATTAATAGTGCCCAAAATTTAAGTCTCTCAAAATCAATAAGGTTTGTAAAACTAGGGAAATGATATTGCAACGGCATGCATGTCGAATTGTTTACTTTTCTTTATCCACAGATCATGAAGGAAGTTCGGAGAGCATTGTGCAATGCATCAGCTGATGACAGTAAACTCTTACTTCTCAGCGCAGTGGGAAGTGTATTCTGTAGTGGCCTAGATTACTCATATTTAATTGGCAGGTTATCCAATGACAGAAGAAAGGAAAGCACTAGGATTGCAGAAGCTATAAGGTGACCCAAGCTTACCTATGATCTCTAAATTATGAAATGCAGTGTGTGATTATAAAGATATTTATCAGGTCCAAAAATGTTGTATATTTAAGTGTTGATTGCATTCTAATTATAGTCCTACAAATTTGTTTAGTAAGAAGAACCTTGGACCTTTACTTGTTAGAAAAGAAAGCACATTTATTCCAGTGCTAATATCCATAGGGATTTATTTTATTCAAATTCTCTGTATTTAGTATTTCAAATCATGCCTCCAAATTCAAATACAACTTTGTTGTTGTTGTTTTTCCAAATTAGCTATTGCTTCATGTTCTAAAGTGGTTCCTGAAAGGCAGATATTTTACTTGTTTTAATGTTCATCATTTTAATGAATTTCAGTACAAATGGTAATCCATGGCTTACTCATATTCTGTTGAAATAGCAGTATGCCACTGTATTTCAGAACCTTATTACAAGGGTCTCCACTCTTTTTCTTAAACTTAAATTACTTAATATATATGTAAATGTAGTTTTATTTTCGTAACTAAAATGTGACTTTCCTTATATATATCACATTACCTTAATAGAAATCCAGGGTTTATGACATGCAGTCTACAAATCAATCTGCAAAATACATCACCAAATATGTCCATTATCCACAAGGTATACTTTATACATATTTGGCAGATCTTCCAGTATAAATCAACATTACTCCACTAAAGCTAGTGGTATTTCACCAGTCTGTACGAGGAGAGGGTTTCATCCCTTTTTTTTTCCCCCCACTTCCTACAAATAAATATTATTCTTCTGAGACCTTTAAAACTTTATGCAACAATTATATGACGGAATATTAAAGAATTTGTTTTACAACAGTTCTATATTTTGGCTGTATTAGTATAACATAAGATCAGGTTTAGTTGTTACATGACATATATTAACCACCAATTATCTTGGTTACAACTACTGCAGATCAGTTTGGATTCTCAGTTTAATACTTTTGAAATTCTCAAAGTAGTAATTATTTTGAAAGAATTTAAAATGTAATTTTTAATTATAATAAATTATGACGTGTTTTTAAAATCCTAGTTATGCTTGAATATCATGTAGTGATATTTAAAAAAAGAAAAACCCTTTGAAGGCCACATTATTTATTATTATTTATTATGTTTTTTTAATGTGAGGGATTTTTAATAATGTGGAACCAAAAAAAACGTGAGGGAAGAAAATCACTATTCTTGTCTGAAAACACAGGCACATTCACACTCCATTAGAAAATACAAATTTAATATTATTCATGTAAATATTGTGTAGGTAGGTATTGTTATATATGCATACATTTACCTACACACATCTAATATACAGGTATACTTATCAATTCAACATTTAAATGAGTATAAGCCAGACTATGATACTCAGTTTTTCCATCCTTGGACTCACAGAAATACTGGTACAATGTACTGCTCCTTGTCAAGAATGTCGGCTTCAGGCCCACTGGAAATAGATTTTTATTGTACTTCTGGAAACAATACACTACGTTTTCCATTTAGCACTCTCTGTGCTTTCTGTGAACAAAGGACTCAACTCATGGAAAATATACTGTAATGAGAGTAGAAAAGAAATGTACACTTTGCTTTTTCAGGGGTTAGGATGTCCTAAAACACATTAATGGATCTCTGCCTCCACTGCTTTACATCAAGTTAGACTTGTATCAAAATGAAATTAAAATCTTGATTACCGTGTGTTTCCACTTTCTAAAGTATGGTTCTCTATACTGACCACAAGTTAAAACTGAAGTTTAAATACCCATTAAGTCTCATCTCACATGAATGATTTATTCATTTGGCCCCTGTCCTCATCCACTGCCTTTGGGGTTGGCAACTCACAAATGTGTGGCACTGTAGCTTCTCTCCAGGTACTGAATATACATCCATCAGCCTGAGCTGCCATCATCCAGACGTGTGTCCAGCATTGCACTCCTGGAGCAGGGAAAAGGCAGACATACAGACTGCACTGTGACTGAGCATATGTGGCCTACAGAGCCCTGCAATTGAAAGACTCACTGGAAGGCATTCCCAGCATCAGTTTCACATCATCAGTCGGGCATCGTTATGTGACCCGATACATAAAATTCTAGGTGTCCTCAGAAGAAAACAAAGGATGACTTTACTTGCTCAACTTCTTTATAGCCTTTGACATACATAGGAGCCCTGACCTGCAGCAAGACCTCTGCAACAATGCAGAGGTATCTAGGCATCCCAAAGTTTATTCAATGGTCAACTTCCCAGATATCCTCTAGCAAAAGCAAAACCCTTCTGCATGTGACACTTTTTCCTATCTTTGAGCTTCTGGCTGTACTGTGCAACAACAGTCACAATTTTAAGTCCTTTTCAAAGACTGCCTTGAATTGAAACAAGGATCCTCTAGCCCAGAAACGACATGTGTGAACTTAGGTTCAGAGACATAGAAACATGCCAGGTTCTGGGTACAAAGACAACTCACTGAAACAAATAACATACGAAACAGGGAACACAGATAAGTGGAGTGCTGGACACTGCAGCTTCTGTAGACCAAATGCAGGCATTTGTTCCCCTCGTAAGCTCCCAATATTGTAGCCTTCCACTCCATCCTATAGGTGGCATGTTCCATATCCATCTATTGTACTATTCTCTGTGCTCACCATCCTTCCCTCATGACAGAGGCTCATTGTTTTTTCTCAACGTTCTGTTCCACTCTTTCTCCATCTCCAGGTCCTCCTTCCTTCCTTGCTCACTCATATGAAGATTTCACATTTCCTTCAACCCTTCCCCTCTGTTAATGTGTTCTGCTTTGTTCTTCATCCCCATCATCTAACCATTTCCTCTCCACATCCCTAATTGTTTTTCCATATTCACTTCCAGTCCCATTTATCACCACATGCTTCCTGCTTTTCTCCACAACACTGTTTTCTTCTGCCTCCACATGGTCCCCAGATCTGCTGCCACCATTTATCCATAGTTTGTTCTTTTTACCTATCATACATCACATCCCCGTTCCCATCTGTAGTCCTGCTTGGAAGGCTTACTTGCTTAACTACTAAGGTTCTCAAAATTCTGGAATTAATCAGGTGCAGTGATCCACAGTCATTGCTCAACCATAAACAACTGAAGAAATAACGAGATAAAGGAACAGCATTGCTTCTGCAAACAAAAATGAACCACAACTCTCCTTAACCCTGCTATCCTCTAGAAGGAAATGGTCTTGAACAGACAAATGTGATGTTCCTTATTTCACTCTCTTCATCTTGCCACTGATCTTCTGTTTTATTACTCACTGTGTGAACAGAGCTGCATCAATTCCCATGAGTCCCTATTTTCCTATGGTCAAAAATCAACTCCTTACTAGATAGCCTGAAAAACAGAACTCATTCATTGAACATTTAAAGCTGTGTCACCTCAGACTCTTTGTTTTCATTTAAAATATAGCCAATGCCCTTGCACTTCAGTCCAATAAAATACTTATCTTCGGTATGTTTTCCATTTTTTGCCAAATCAGCACTCTAACCTGCAAGGCACACCTCGTGTCCTCAGATACAGAAGTCTAGGTCTTTTTGACCTCAGTGGGAGAGCTGCAACTCATCAAAGGGGACATTTGACAAAATGTTCTTTCCTACAATCTGTCAGCAGAGATGCGCTCTGGATCTAATAAATACCGAGTGCAGGAACAGAACCTCCTCTTTTGTTTTGAATTTGATTTATACATGTGTCTTTTCTAAAGTGATTGAGCATCTCATTTGCCTCCATATACCTGCCGTGCACTGAGCTGCTAGAGCCCATAATTTGCCCACAATTACACTCATGCTTTTTCCTAATTGGTGTATAGGCTGTTCCATTCAACAGATGTCTTTCCACAGTAGCTGGTAGGTAACTTATTTAAAATATCTCCTCGTTGCACAGAATTTAACATGTTCTAGTTCATTCATCCGGATGAATCTGATCACATTTACTTCCCCATTATTTCCCATCGCTTCACATTTACTGTTCTAGGCAGGCAGGCATCTACTTTGTTATGTCTTTGCTGAAGACATTTGCAATGAAGATCCAACAGATCACTCGCCTAATTCTTTCCCCATTCAAACATTTCTCTCTCTGACTCCCCTTTGTTCTTGTTCTTTCTGCTGCTGTGCCATAAACGTTTACTATCTCCCAATCCATTGATGGGACTTGCAGTAACCTTTGACATAGAATCTTAAGAGAAATTTTTGAAAAAAATAAATACTCAGCAAGCCACCTATGAGTTTCCTATCCTTCATGCTGTAATATGTTCATCAAGTTAGCCAAACCAGATCGTCAGAATCCATACTAGCCATTGTGGAGCAAACTGAGAAGTGCTATGCATACAAACTCATGAGTTACTGGTCCAGAAGTAAAACTAAATCTAACCAAACCATCCTGCAAAAAGTACAGCAGTCAGTGCATTCCAATTAATCAGTTTATATACAACATACACAAAACTATTTAATATCCCAGGTACTCAGAAAGATTAAATAACTAAATATGAGCAAAATTTTCTATGTGCAAACTAGAAAGTATCTTGCAATTCTGACCTCCTAAAACTGGGCCATGGCATTTATTGTGTTCATCTGTGGTTCTAATTTGTTTTCAGATTAAGTACTTTAAGCTTGGGTATTTATCTAAGTGTTACTTCTGTATTCAAGATCTTTCTTTTATTTTTTATTTTAGGGATTTTGTAAAAGCTTTTATTCAATTTAAGAAGCCAATTGTGGTTGCTATCAACGGCCCTGCTCTTGGCTTAGGAGCTTCTATTTTACCACTATGTGATATCGTTTGGGCAAGTGAGAAGGCATGGTTTCAGACACCATATGCAACAATCCGACTCACTCCAGCTGGCTGCTCATCATACACATTCCCACAAATTCTGGGTGTTGCACTGGTAAGGTTTTCCACCTCAAATTGCTGAAGAACCTTTCTTAAATTCATGCTCTTCTTTCTCTCTTTAAAAAGTAAAACAAAAAACAACTCTTTCTCTTAATTGTCATGAATGGAAATGAAATCTGTGGAAAGTTCATCTAATCCCTACCAATTTCTTATCACAAAATGACCTCAGAATTCAATACATTACACATGCTGTACACAAGAAAGATTGAACACAGGTTGAAAAAGCAAAGATTGTCAAGATCATGGTAGAAAAGGGAAGAAATGCATTAGGAGAATAATGTTGCAGAGTACTTGTCTGTATTGTGTTAGGATTGTGCAATAACAGAGCAAGATACTGCTTTTTGCTCTCTAAAGACAATCTATACTAATTCCAGTAAGGCTGCTTAGTTTTTACCAGTATAACAGAGCAGAATTTGCCCCACAAAGTATTTCATACTAGGTTCCATGACTCTTGGCAGAGTATCAGTGTATCACTGACAGTTACTCTTGTAAAATCAGCAATACAGATTCATCATGCATGCCAGCACATTTCTCTTAAATGAAACCCATGCTGTGCTCTGGCCACCTGCACAATCCCTAAATAGCTACTGAAACTCCTTTTAAAGTATTTTGCAGTATGGAAAGATACAGGAGACCATTTGTAAATTTAATCTTGAAAATAGCAGGCAAGTATGGAAAATTTTTTAAGGGAATATAACCCAAGATCACAAGTAATCTTTTGGTTTCACAGGCAAATGAAATGTTGTTCTGTGGGAGAAAGCTAACAGCACAGGAAGCCTGCAGCAGAGGACTAGTGTCACAAGTATTTTGGCCAACAACATTTAGCCAAGAAGTGATGCTACGAGTGAAAGAAATGGCATCCTGCAGTGCAGTGGTAAGAAATCAAACTCCTTTGTGATTAAATTACATTTCACAGAGGCAAGGTGTGCTCTCAAGGCTCATCACATGGTGGGTCTTCAGTTTCCACAACCATGCCTGTGGAAGAGGGCTAACAACAGAAAATCTGGATAGGGATCAGTGAGCTTATGGAGTTTCCCATTTTTCAGTGGCAGGGAGGGTTCTTTCCTTTCCCCATCTTCACATTTTTTCAGTATGGGTGGAACCTCCTTGCCCCAGATTTTGAAAGGGGATTTTAGCATAGGTTTCCTTAATGAAGGTGGAGGAGTCTGAAACTATACAACTGTACTGGGAAATCTCTGTAGGGCTAGTAAGAAAATATATTTGTCTTTCACGTTGTCCTGGCCTACTGTGTTTCAGTTGACTCTGCCGCCTTTTCTGCACCTGCATAGTTCCTGATTCTGCAAAATGTTCTACACAGTGCACCAGAAGGGTAGGATAGTGCCAGCTAACCTCTGCTGTGAAGGAGAGGTGAGATCCAGACACAGAGGGATTTGAACACAGTCTGGTCACAGTGTATTATAATTTTCCTTTTGTGTACATAAAAGTTGAAAGAAAATCCTTTCCTATTTTTACGTCCTAAGGTTTTTTCCCTTCAGGCAGATATACTCCTATTCTGGGCACATCCTGGTTTAAAAAAAATACAGTGAAGAAAGTGATACTGGCTGCAATAAAACTGCACTAACTAAAGCGCAAATTGTTGCAGTTTCTTGGTATACTTCCTATGCCTGAAACTGTCTTAGCATCTCTCAGTTTCATTTGAAAGATCCGTTGTAAAGAGAAGGTAGAGACACAGGAGATTTTTAATTAAATGAAGTGTAGATTAGATCTCACAAAAGACATTCAGAATTAAACTCTCTGGAAATGTAGCATAAGCTGATATAACGTGTATTATATGAGTTCAGAAAACCTCTGGACCTTACAGTGAATTCTTCCTTCCTTCATTGTTACTGGCTGCCAATGAAATTTTCTCTTGAGACCTGGTAGGAAGACTGGTGCTAACTTGTGGACAAGGATGATAGTGAAAACTGTCAAAGACTAGATTTACTCTCTGAGATCCTAAATGCAAATCAGGCTGAAGTCACAAAAACAATGAATATAATAAGCTCAACCAAGTTCACTGTAGATTCTTGTTCACAAACAGTATCTGGGCTTAACATGCGGGTGTTGACAAAGCTTATGGTAAGGTCTCCCTTACTATAAACACTGTATTTGTTTACATTAAGTCTCCTACCTCCAAAAAATCAATAATGTATGAATTATTAATGGTTTTGTCTGACTAGTTGGGTTCCTTGTGAGATACATACTGGTGCTATATATTTCAAAAAGAATTTTAAAGAAGGCAATCTCAATGTGTCTAAAAATGGCTCTGGGAAAACCGAGCTGAACCGTGGGAGCAACATGGACCTGCTTGTTCATGCCTTTAAGAACTTGCAGCGATTACTAAGGGCTTGAGATTGGGCTTCCATTGTAAAAACCTTAGGTGATTTTTTATGACTGCTTGTGTATGTTAAGCAAATCTAACTCCAGAACACAGTCAGAGGGTTCTTGTTTTACTTAACGCCCTTCCTTTATAAAATATTTCACTTTCATAAAAATGTAAGTAAATAAACTTTAAAAGGTATTTGCAGTAAAGGCCCTTTCCTATTCATTTCTGTTTTGATAAGGAAATTATGCAGGAGGGAAAAGTGTTAAAGATGATGGACATTCACATTTGGGTTTCCAACCTCTATAACCTCTGAGAAAACAGGTAGCCAATACATCATGCCTCACACATTTTCATTTCAAGGGATCACATTTTCAACAGGAGGGAGTTCAGCTCCTTCTAGTGCTTCATGGCAGACCTTCAATAAACTAAGGTACTTCAGAATCCCTCATTCCTTTTAAAAATGTTGGCACTAAGGCATAAACCTCGGAAGTCCTTAATTCTTAAAGATGCTGACTATCAGCAAGTAGAGTTATGGCTGTAAATCAGATCTAATTTCTGTGCCCGAAGGAGTTATTTAGATTCTAAAACAGAGTCAGTAGTGTAAAAATGTTCTTCACGCCATTATCCGTAATAATTTTCTCAGATTCAAAATAAAATACTGAGTGGTATTTTGGCTTTAGGTATTGGAAGAGTCCAAATGTCTCGTGCGGAGCTTCCTGAAATCCGGACTTGAAGATGTGAAAAGATGTTAAAACAGCTGTGGAGTTCTTCCAAAGGACTGGATTCATTATTCAGCTACTTGCAAGACAAAATTTATGAAGTCTGATGTCTTGGCCTAACTTAAAGAGAAAATGCTCCACTTGTGAACAGAGTCAAACATTACCTGTGTTTGAAAAGCAGAGGCAATGCATCATTGAGGAATTTGTGACAGTGTATCCTAATACATATGGTTGTGTCGATTTCCTTGTGAGCTACACAGCTGCTTGTAGCTGGTTTGATTTTGTGTAACCGAGACGTAGGCAGGCTTGTTCAGTGCACATAATCTCTACAGAGGGCTGCATTTTTCACGTGCTCATCCAGATAAAAGTATACATTCCATGTGCTGAGAAGCACCACTGAGGCCCAACAAGGCACACCACCTGTAATGGTTTATTTTGTCTGTCCTTCTTAAGTTATTCTTGCTGTTGCAACACATCTGGGCTGACATAGAGGGCTCAATCTAAAAACTGGGTCAGCACAATATTTTGTAGACCCAAACACCATACTTTAGAAATATTTTAATTATTTTTTTCTAAGTTCTAACAGTGTAATGGAAAAATCTGATAATTTATATGTATAATATGTAAAGTTAGTTTTACAAAAACTACTAGGATTTTTTTCTTTGTTGAATTTATTTAACTTATTTATTTTGTGTTCATATTCAGCTGTTTATTGATCACAGATCTTATTTTCATACTTCCCTTGACTGAATTAATGGCATCACATGAGAATGCAAACACATTTTTAGCAGCAAATTGTGTAGAAAGATAAAGAATATATAAAAAACACACAGAATGCTGTGGGCAGTAAAAGAAACAGCCACGTGCATGCTCCTCTATGTGCTAAATTGTACAAAAAATGTATGAAATAGATTCATTTGCCAGGGTTAAGGGAAAAAAGGTGGATTCTGAAACAGTGAGTCCCCCCTAAGTCTCTCTTCACTTTCTGCCTTCTTGAGGAGCATTGAAGGGCTTGCTTTATTTAAGTTTACTATATTCCTGTTAGCCGGATGTCAGTAACAGGGTGAGTGGTGCCGTAATGTGGCATCATACTGTTTTTCAGGTTTAAACATCCCCTTCTGGTCTGAAGTCTAAAAGCAAATCCTTATGAGCCTTAGTCTAGTTGCCTGATTCCTCAGGTGTGAGATAATTTCTGCTCTGGAGGCCTTTGGGTGTGGGCCAACAGTTTATACAAGGTGCTAGGTATTGAACTAAGTGGAGGGAGAGGTTTTGTTTTGCTTTTCCCAGCTCTCCACATCTGGCCACCCCACCATCTGTTACAAGAACTTATGGCTATCCATAAAAGCAGTCCACAATAAACGACAAAAATCCAATCTGCTATTTTAGAATGTGATCCTAGTACTTTTCAGTGACACTTACTGACTTCTGAACACTGGATCACTCTCATTTCTGTCTTGCTAGTAAGGTAATTAATATGGAAATAACACAAGCATGCTCTGTGACTTCACCTGCCATTTTAGTATGCCCAAATTAAAACCTCCTGAAGCAGAAGCTTTGCACATTTGTTTGCTTTGTAATTTGTGCACTTGCTCTCCATCCTTGAGCTCAGTGACTTCGTTATGGTTTAAACCTCTGCAAATGAGGCTGCTAGGTTTTCTCCTTCCCAGTATTTTCATGAAGAATTTCAACAAAGCCTTTGTAAAGTTAACAAACAGGTGATTATAGTAAACAGTAGCCTTCAACACATTAATATAACGTTTCTTTTTCCACAAATAATTAAAAGTGCTGTTTCTATGGCCTAATTGTACCACTGAATTTTAAGGAAATCATTACTCTAAAGGCAGAAGTTCTCATGGAAATTCTTCATTAAAAAGACAAAATCTGACTTCTAATTAGCCTGTTTTAAATGTTTTCAAAAAGTTTATCAAAACAAGTAACTTATTTTTAAATGTCTGAAACAGAACTCTCTTAATAACTATTTGAAGTGATAGATGCACCACTTGTTTTATACTAATACTTGCTTATTTCCACAACCTGCCAGCAATGCCACAGAGCACATGCGCAAAGACTTGGTTGGATCAAGGCCACAGGACCCCCCACTATGCGCACGTGAGTCACCTGTATGGCAGTCCCATTAAAATGAGAGGGATAACTCAAGTGAAAACCACTCACATGCATACGTCTTTGCACAATCAGGCCTCCAGCATATGACTCCAGAAAAAAGAAAGAAAAAAAAAAGCAATGGAAAGTACCATGATTCCTCAATTTCCTTTATTTCCTTTATTCCCGTCCAGAGAGCCATAACTCCTAGTCATGTGTTAATAAGATATTAGGAAGTTTATTTCAATACTATGCTTGGTTTTTGTAGATAAATATAGAAAAATTGCTCAGCAATGTGAAGATATGCTTTCCATATGAGATTTTCAAACAGAGAAGAATCATAAGTTGTTAGACCTTTAAACTGCATCATTTCATCTGAATTTTCAGATATCTGTATCTTAGCATTTTTTATGACAAAGGAATGGTTGAAATACATTTTCTATAATTATTTTTCCATTAAAGCAAGCGCTAACCATAGTTAACATTTTTAATTACTCATATCTATACAGTTACAATCTAGTTTTCATGGAATCTATTTTCCCTTCAATAAAGAGTAATAACAATGTCAAAAGCTTCTTTTCCAGTATTTAAAGATCAGAATCAATTTTCTGTTGTGTTTCTGTCCTTACTCGGTATTCAGATATCTAGATGTACTGTACATATTAGTCTGGGTACCTTTACTAATATTCACAGTATTTAAGATTATAAATGCAATTTGTTGTTAAGTATGTTATTTTATTCTTGTGTAAATTGTTTTGTACAATCTTTAAAAATCTACAGTTTTGCATTTGTAGATATTAAAGGTAAGCAATTTATTTTGTGTTGTCCTGCATGTATATTTTTGCTGTAGATAAGTGTTGCTTAGTTTACTATTTCAGTACATTTCTGTTTAAATGAATAAGCTTACAAACTTTAATACAGTATATATTTTCAGAATATAAACTTTTATATTTCTGTGGTAGGTTAGGGTATGCGTTTTAGGCAATCTTTTTCACTACTATTAACTGTTCTTTTAATCTATAATATAATGGTTTTGTGCCAATAGTTTTTCATTAGAATAAAATGCTCTTTTAATGTTAGGGATGAACAGACAATTTTGGTTGGGGTTTGTTTTATTTTGTTGGGTTTTTTTATTATTTTGCCAGCCTTTACAGTTTTAAATGTAATTTATAAATGTATTGCATTTGTGAATAAGCCTTACCATTAGGTACAAGAAATCTTTAAAGCTACATAATTGCTTATGTAGTACTAAGGACTTCCCCAAATGATTGCTGTAAGAAAGTTAGCAAATCAGAGTACAGGGCCTTAAGTTTTTCTTGTGAAAAGGATAATACGGGTTGTTTCTTTTGAACAACATAGGTAGACTTGTCAGCATGGGCTTTGTTATATATAAACTGTGCATTTGTGCTCCCAACCACAGTAGTTTAATCTCAGGCTTTGTGTGGCTGGGTCTATAAAAGTCAAATCTGGCTAAAGCCAGCACTCTTTAGGAGACACTAAAGAAGTTTACATAAGAGACTTACAGACAATCTTAATCATAGTACATTTGGGTACTCGGTATCCTAGATGTGTTATCTGTGTCTGCCCAATTAACCGTATGTTTTAAGCCATATTAAATCTCTTTACTGCTACTTTAAATACTACACTGAAAGTCATTCACTAGCTTGCTTACTCACAGACAGGATTTCAATTTTTAGTGAATAAAAATATTATGCCTTCCATAAAAACAAAGGACCAAAGAATTGCATTATTCTAACAAAGCATTAGTTCCTTCGCCAGTGAACTATTTGACATTTGTACTGAAGATCAAATAGTCTCTTTCTGCTACAAACACTGCATTCTCATCCATGTCAAGTGTAAGGGGAAAAGATGTATCCACTGACCTATTGGGAAAGGAGTGACGTTCAGCTAGGATGGCATGTCTATTGGTAAGGCTTATTACCAAACCTCTGAGATGAAGCAAAGAACCAAAAATTCACAAATTATGTCAATGTAAATTTATTTTCAGAACTTGCACAAATAATTAATTGTAGAACTTTGCAAATTAGGCCCTTAAGTTATTTTGTCAGAACGCCATGGAACAGACTAAAACAGTTTCTAATATTTGTAATGATGAGTACATATTATAATATTATAAGGGTACAGGCACCCCTATATCACAGTGTTGTAAATATTTTCTGAAACTGGTACAGTACTGAGGGACTTGTATCTTCTGATATATCAAATATTGACTGTCTAGATCAAATTGTACACAATTTATTTGTTGATGGTCCTGTAACTAGTGTATGGACACATTTCTGGGTGCCTTAGAAGTTGTATTTTTCATGTGTGTTAATATGCAGTATTTATACATTGTGAGAAGCTGCTTTGAATAAAAACATTGAAACTTCATTTCAATGCAGTGATTTTCAGTTTTACATAATCAGAATGAATGTCATAAGTAGTAGCCACAGACCCTTGTATTGTATATGATAAAGCTATTCATGGATTCCTACCTTTTAAAAGAAAGCAATCATACAGCAGGCTTTTTAAAAGAGAAATTAAAACTTAAAACTTTTTTTCTTCCAAATGGCAAAAATCAGGGCACTAAAAGATGCTGCAGTAAGAATTCTCTGAAATCATTCATCATGATCCATCTCATTTATCATTTCATGATCAAATCCAAGACAACCGCTGAGAACTGTCTTACAAATACACTTCTAGGACACATTCTCCACCATTATCACCTCCACTATTTGGTACGTGCATGTCACCTAAAGCATATCTGCCCAGAACTGACTACTGCGTACAGTGTTTCAGCTCCACACGAGAGAATTTGATTTTGAAGTGGTATTTGCCAGGGAGGCCAAGATTCAGCCCAGAACCTCCTTGGTGCAGTGTGAAGCTGGATCACCCTGTGGTCCTCCTCCACGGTTACAGCCTGCAATCCTTCCGTGGGGTCTCTTGTATACAAGGTAATCGTTTGGCTGTAGCATCCATTAATACCATTTCCAATCATGTCTCTCCC